AATAGATCTACCGCAGACAATGTGCTACTTAACGTGCCTTATCTCCTTCAGTCCTCACACAGCCTAGGAAATCAGAGCCATGATCTCTTCTAGTTTGTAGGTGAGGATGCAAGGCTCAGAAATGTTCAGTAACTTGTCCAGAGTCTCTCCACCACTGTATCATTCTATATCCTGCACTAGAAGGTGAAAGTAAACACAGGGGGGAAAGAATACACTTCCACGCCTTGGGCAAATCCCTCTGTTCCATGGGCCTCAGTTTCCCCTTCCTGTAAAATGAGGGAAACGTTTAAATGGTGGGTAAGGATCTTTGAGGTCCCAGTGTTACGGGGTGCTGTGAACATTTCAGTGAAAAGAGGACTTCTGGAACTCTTCGAAAGTCCGATGACTTCTATTGTCTATTCTGTGGGGATAAATGTGCATTTCTGTTTGTTTTAATAACATTTGTAGGAGCTTTATATAGTGTCTATGTCTGCTTACATTAGACGCTGTGTATTATAGTTAAGAGTCTTTCACTATTTCCCATATAAACCTTGTTTTTTATGGGTTTGGGAGAGCTCAGCTGTAAAAACTCTCTTGGCTGAAAAAAAAAATTTTTTTCAAACAAATTAGGTTTAAATCAGGAGGCTGGTTTCAGACACTTCAGACCCTGAACATTTTTTCTTCCTAGTCACTTTTCATTTAAAAATGAGACTGGCTGATTTCTTAGTTTCGTTTCTTTTATGGGGATTTAGCAAGACCATAAGCTTAACTGTTGGCTGCATGAAGAGAATGGATCCAGAGTCTTTTCCAAAGGAGCCTCGGGCCTGAAGTCTGCAGACTTCTTCCTAATCCTAGCTCAATTTTCGACTGGATGTGTGACCCTGAGCTGGTCATTTCACCTTCCCCTCTCCTGGCAGTGAGGAGCAGTACTCCTGCACTGAACCCTTCTAATTTACCGGGAGAAAAACATGCTTAGAAAAGTGGAAGTTCCAAGAAAGATGAATGCACTATACAAATTTCAGAGGCCGGGACAAAGAATAACATGCTGTTTTCACCAGCAGAAAGTAGATTTCTGGAGTCAGAGTGTTAGTCAGGAGAGAACCCAAAGGTCGAGAAGCCTACCACCTTCTTCACATTATAGATGGGATCTGCTCTGAGCTGGGACTGGTGAAGGCTGTAGTTAGAATCCAGATTCCTTCTCAAACCCCCTTCTTTCTTTTCTCCACCTTACTTTGGGGGCCAAGAAAGATCCGATTGCAGTGGCTGTGTGTGAACACACACACACACACACACACAAACCTCGGAGGTGCTGAGATGTGGGGGAAAAGCCATGTCTAGGGAGGCAGGCAGAACTGCCCTTTAATCTGACCCAACCCACCTTTTACCATCTATGTGACCTTGAACGAAGTCTGTCACCTCTCCCTGCCTCAATATTAACCTCCAGCAATCTCTGTAAGGCTCATATGAAATAATGCATGCTAAGGGCTTAAATCATTTCCTCTTCAAATTTTAGGTGTTTTTGTTAGGATGATTTCATGCAATAATAGGTTGTAAATGTAAAAAAGGAAAAAATAAATGTAAGAAAAGATTCTATTTACTGTGCAGAAGGAATAATAAAACTCTCCCCAACAAATACTTATTATTGTATGTTAATGTGTAGTGACTATTGGGATTCTTTCTTAGTCGTTACATTAATATCCACAGTGCCTAGCACCAGGCGGGCGCTCAGTTCACGTATGTTGAATAAAGTATGCGAAAAGTATGCTGGCCACTGGAGAAATTAGGAGGAGACTGCAGCGTAATTGTGTTGGTTGCAAAAGCAATACTTTTTCATTGTTTTAAAATGTAGAAAAATAGCGCTCAGCAGAAGGATAAGTCAAAATTATCCCTATTCCCCAAAGTCACAGGCAGAAGTGTAAATGTTTTGATGTATATTCTTCCGTTTTTCCTCCTAGTTTTACATAAAGCAGGACGATAAACAGTCTTAGCAACCTGGGAGGGTTTTTTTTCCCCCTCTCCACTTAATAGATCAGGAACAATCTCCAAGTCAGTTCCCACACTCTTTCCAGTGACTGCGTAGTAACCCAGTGTACTGATGGATTCATTTAACCAGTTCCGTAATTATAACATCTTGGGCCCTTCTGTATTTTTCAGTCTTCAGTAGAATAGTCCTGTCGTTAAAGCTTTGTAACATCAGGGACTACTGACTTACAATAAATTCATGGAATTTACTTTTAATTAAGCTACCATTCCATTTCCCACCTGGATTTAAAAAAAAAAAAGTGATATTCTTAATTCAAAAATACGAATGACAGCGATTCTGCCCCTTCTGGGTCCAGGTAGGTTTCCGACCAACCGCGTGGAACCCTGGGAGAGAAGGAGGAAGCACCCGTCGGCCTCTAAAGCCATTCCAGGCAGGGAGCGCTAAAAAAAGGTGAGAGGCTGGAGAACCCGCGGCGGAGACAAGCGCGGGAGCCCGAGTCCCGAGACCCTCTGCGCAGACTGGTTGGTGAAACCCGGAGCGACCCCGCTGCTCTGGGGGTGGAGGGTGGTGCTGGGCTTTTCCAGCCCGCGACGGAGGGCTGCAAGTGTGGCTCGGGCGTTCTAGGGGAGAGTGGGAGGACATCCCCGTGACCCCCGCAATAGGCAGAACCCCCACCCTTCCCAGGCCTGAGATCGGAACCACACATGGTTGGGACTCAATTTGAGGCTCCACCACTGTCTTCGCAAACACGGCTTGGGCCGGGCCGGATGGGGCTTCCCCAGGAGGCACAGTTATGGAAAGCTTGGCTCTGGCCGCCTCGGGCGGTACCGCGCGGTACCCTCTCTCCACCCACTGGCCAGGGCTCCGAGGAAGCAGGACCCGGGTGTGCATTCCTCCCGTGCCTAGGATACTTCACGGCTCTAAAAATAGTCGAGGGAGCCGAGCTCTGTGTAAAGCGAGAGGACCACCTATTAAATACACTGGAGTCCCGGGTTCGAATCCAGATAAGGCCCCCTCCGTGCGGCGGAACCCGGATCGGCTTGCTCCCTGAGCCTGTTTCTCCATGCGTGCCACGATCTCTAAGGGGCTTCGCCGCTCTTGGAAAGAAAAGGAAAAAAAGGAAAAAGAAAAACCCTCGATTTTTCTTTCCTGCTCCTTCCTGAGGGCCTTGGGGCCTCGGGCGGGGACTGAGGCCGGGCGAGGTGTGTGCCGGGCGGTTCATTACCGCGAGGTGTTGCCCTAGTTAAATCGCGGGTCTGTTTGATCTGGCGGAGGGTGGCGAGAAGGAAAAAAGGAAAAAGTAGGGAGGTCAGAGCAGAGAGACGCTCACACCTCCCCCACCGTTTCCTCGCACCCATAAAACACCTTTTATTAACTCCTTCGCGTCCGGAAGGGCTGGCGTAGCCGTTCAGCTCCTGCCACGGTGTTTACAGCCAAGTCTAATGGGGCCCCATATTCACCCCGATGCCGGGACGAGGCGCCTTGGACACGCCTGATCCTGGAGCTGCCCGCGGTCTCCTTTCTGGCGCACGCCCCAACCCGAGGGCCTCAGCTCCGGAGCGAGCAAGCGCCCCGAGACCCGCGCGTGCGTTCGCGCCTCCCTCGCAGTGAGCGCGGAGACCAGTGCAGGCACCGCAGACCGTGCGTTCCCTCGCGCACCCGCGGGAGCTGTCGGGACACGTAAAAGCGCTTAGCCTCGAGCCTGGCACACAGTTGCACGCGCACAAAGCTAGTTGTCTGTACACTGTTATTTCGGGATACGTAAGCGCCAGCGTTTGCCTGCTCCACTGCAGCCTTCCACGCATCCATGCCTTGGCAAATGCACCCGTTTTTATTCACTCCCACACGCAGTCGTGGGTGTACCCGTGGGGCACAGAAACCAGCTGTCTTTCAACGAGTTCCCGAATTAGCAAGCACACACACTCCACCGCTTTGCACAAATCCACATGCTCTCCCACAAATATTTGTTTAATGCTTTGTTGCTGGAAAGAAACCTTGTCTCCGTGTAACCGTAAGCACTCAGGAGCTTATTTTACTCAAGGATAAAGTAATAGCCGCTATGATCTGTCCAGCTCTTACTGCATGCAGGGGGCTGTGCTAAGCAGACCCTGTGTTTGCCCCCACTTCCCCTGCACAGCTGCAGGGCTCCGTGTGAGTTCCTATACACATCTGTAAGATCAGAGTCTCAGGTACAAGAACATATTCCCCAGCGCAAACCCCTCTTCTGTGTTGCAGTGCCCTGGGATGCCCTTTGTTTGTGTGACAAGCCCGCTTCCCAATAACCCCAACACACCGCCTGCAGACTGGAGGAGGGGGGTATGCCAACCCACACAAACTCAAATGCAGACCTGCATAAATCCTAGCCTGTCCTCGCTGGGTCTAATTCCTTTCCAGCTTTCCTGTCTGTGTGTTCACTAAAGTTATCCTGTCCAGGCATTATACTCAAAGAACTTTGTTCTTTGTCCCACAAATAAATCCTTTATCTACCCCCTTCTCCGGACGTGATTTGCCATTTGCTATGGAACATTCATCAAAAAGAAGTCAGAACTGAGGGTTCTCCACCTAGCAGACAGGATGGGGCCAGTGGATATACCCACCAAGACATCACACAGGCTGCCTCTGATTTCAGAAAATCTTTTATTCGTCAAGAGCATAGATACCGCTTTGGCAGAGGGAGGGGACAGTGAGTGGTCTTACAGATTTGAGGTAGAAAAAGGGGGGGGGTAGATAAACAAATACCTGAGCGCTACAGGCACAGTAGGTAGTTTAAATACATAAAAACTTCTCAACATAGAGAAAAGTTTTTATTTACTGAGGAAGGAAAGAGGGAAGGAAGAAGGAAGGGGGGAGGGAAGGAAGGAGAGAGAGAGAGGAAGGAAGGAAGGAAGGAAAGGAGAGGAGGAGAGAAGGAAAGAAGGAAGAAGGAAGAGAGAGAGAGGAAGGAAGGAAAGAAGGAGGGAAGGAGAGAAAGCGTTTCCCTTGGAACTAAATAGGAAGTACAGCAACAATAAAGTAAAGTAAAACACCACTGTTTGAGGGAGAATGACAAAAGGCAGCCCTTCATCTTCCTGGTTTGATTCTTTCCCTGGCAGAAAACTATTGATTCCTCTTATTGCATTTTAATTTGAGAAAAGAGCGCCTGGGGGATTTGCCGCAAAGCAGACAGGAGGACGAGAAAAAGAGCCAGTAGGCCAAGTGGAGAAAGCATCGGGGGTTCTAAATTCGCCCCAGAAGGGTTGGAAGGGTGCGTTTTAGCGCGCTTGAGTCCCGCAGTCCCTCTCTCCCACATTGTGCAGCCAAGAGCCGCCCTCTGGCTTGGGGGGGGGGGGGGTGGATATATATATATATTTCTCTTTCTCTCAATGTATTAAAAACAATTTCAAATGACATTGCACGTGCGATCCAAGAGTGTTGTTGCAGCCGGCGACCTGCCAGCACGCAGCAGAGCCTCCTTGGGATGCGCCCCTAGAAGCCCCCGGCACTCAGAGCCTGGCCCTCACCGCCGCCGCCTTCCTCTCCTCCCGGGGCTCCGGGGTCGGGCAGCCGTGGCAGGGTCCTCGGCGCGGCCTCGGCTCACTGGTTTAACTCCAGCGCCCAGACTTGCTGTGGCCAGCCTGTGCGCCCTTTAATCCTCTTCTCGCCTGGGCCCAGGGCAGGAGGAAAGCCTTCGTGTTGCTGCTGCCAGGGGACACACACAAGAAAAGAGGCGAGAGACAGGTTTAAATTGTTCTGCTCCTACCGCCCAGGTATAGAGTCGGGGTGGGGAAAAGGTTTTGGGAGCAGTAAGCGGGCACTTTTAAATAAGTAATAGATTTCTGTTTGCGAAATAGGACAACAGGCTTATAAATTTGCCTTCATGCACCAGAGTTTCTGGGGACCGGGATGGTCTGGGCAGCTTCTAGAAGTTTGGTAGTGAGAATTTTCTGTGCCTGGCGAAATTAGTGCCAGTAGTTTGGGCTTTATGGTGCCAAAGGATGACCGCTGGGGTTGGAATGGGAAGGGTGGGAACCGACAGTTTTCCAGCTCACAGACCTGCTCCCCCCACAAGTCCCACCCGCTTTCCAAGCTGGTTTAGCATCCAGGCTTGGTTGCAGGGGTTGGGTCCACGCTAGTGCTCTGGGAGCCTCAGACAGCTAAGCGAAGGAGGAACAAGTCGGTCGGGCCCACTATCCTCCTTCCTGGCTCTTAGCAAGAACCAAGCAATGCTATTTGAAAGAGGCGGTGATGAACAGTGGATGGTGATCAATGCCCCCAAACTCCTTGCAACCAGGTGTCGCCCCGGCCTGCCTCTCCTCCGCCCTGGTGGCAGTTTACAGACCCAATGCCTATCGATCTCTCCCAGTCTCCCCAGACGAGCTTTCACTAGTTTACCACAGCCCCTGCGGGTCAAAGTAAACCTGGTGGGGCATTCCGGCCGGTTCCAAACTTGCTGCTGGGGGGCCTGAATGCACCAATTCAGAGAAACGAGTTTGCTAGCCTGGAAATCACTGCCCTCAGAAGTCCCAGAGCCCTGGGCTAGCAGCACCGCCCTCCAGAAAGTGTGACTCCCCCTGGAGAGGATCGGGAAAGGTAGAGTAGGGATTGCGATCTCCATCCAAAACCAAAAGCAATGGGTGAGACCTGTGCCTCTTGTTTGTCAGAGTTTACACACAAAATGATCAAGGTCGTCCTCAGAACTAGTTTGTGGGCAGCAGAGCAGTGGGACCTGCTCTGGACTGGGAGTAGAAGACCTGACTTGTCTGACCCCAGTTCCACCTCTGACTCCTCCGGTAGGTGGCCTTTACCTCCTGGTCCCACTCTGAGCCTCAGTTTCCCTATCCTTACAACAATGAAAGTAGCCTAACCTCTTCAGCAAAAACCCTTTGAAAACAGTAACTGAATCCACATGCACAAGTTTATGCACTAAAGCAAATTAAAGTAACACACTTCTACAGCATTCTTAATGTAGATTCCAGGAAAGTCCAGGAATGGATCAGAACCCCCTTGAAATCGGAACCAAAATGTAAGATGTGTGCATTTTCTCGCGTCTAAATCTTCCAAAGGATCCTTAAAGGGGATCCTTTTAGGATGGTTTTCATTCACAGCCTTACAAAAATTGTCCCACATTACGAATGAACTCGAATATGAATTCGCCTCCCACCACGCACACGATCCCACACTATAGCCTCAGAATTCCCTGCAGCCTCTCAAAATCGCACATACGGCAACGCAGACTCCGTGCACTGTGTACCGGACCAGCGGGGTGCTCACCAAGCCCGCACCCTCGGCTGGAGCGCAGGCGCCCGACTTACCAGCTCCCTTTTCCTCTTGCTCTCGCGGCCGCCATCCGCCTTCTTGAGTTCGGCCTTGAAGGCTTCGGGGTCGCCGGCCTGTGCGTCCTTGGCCAGCACGTCCATCAGATAGGCGATGTAGCTGGTGGCCAGGCGCAGAGTCTTGATCTTGGAGAGCTTGGTGTCCGCGGGCACGTTGGGGATGCACTCGCGCAGCTCTGCGAATGCGCTGTTAATGCTCTCCGTGCGCCTCCGCTCCTTCTTGGGTCCTGAGCCTTTCCGCCGGCCCAGGCGGCCTCCGAGCGCCTCCAGCCGCCCGGGACTCTGGCCCGGCCTGGCGTCGGGACCGTAGGCTGCGGGGGCCGCTGCGGCTGTGGGCGGTGGCCCGCCGGCGGGGAAGTCTGGGGCAGCGTCAGCGGGGCTCAGCAGCCAGCTTTGGAAGTAGGGCCGCTCCTGGTGACAGCGCGAGGCCGGGCCGAAGAGGAAGGGTTCGTGGAGCATGGGGTGCGTCGGGTGTGGGTGGTGATGGTGGTGATGGTGTGCGTAGCTGCCCACGAGGTTCATGTTGGAGCGGCCTCTGGCCTGCGCCGCCAGCCCGATTAGCGCCGCCCCATGCGCCCCAGAGACTGCCGGGGCCACCCGTGGGCTCTGGGGCGGCGCTCTGCTGGACGCCGGTTTTGGGAGAGTCTGGGGCAAGGCTGATGAGAGAGAGAGGCACGCAGCCCGCTGGCCTCCCGCGGGCTAGGACGGCGACGCCGGGAGACCTATTTAACCCTTCTGCGGCCTCCCCTTCAGGGTCTGGCTTATATAAGGCCTCGGCTTTGATGTCAACCTCTCCCTGGAGCCAATGGCAGGGGGGCGGGGAGGAGGAAGGGGGTGGCTGTCCCTGGTTTTAAGTTCAGCTAGCCAGCACCACTCGACTCCAGGCCGCCTGCAGGGACAGGGAGGCGGATCCGCCTCTGCTTCCCCACCCCCAGTTCCCGGCTGGGGGGGAGACTGGGGGGAGGCGGGGGCTCCGTACTTGAGGCACAGGCCTGTCAACACCCTAGACGGTGGCTGCCACCTCCTCCCTGTGGACCCAAAGAAAGGAATCCAGAATCATCCAGTGAACACAAGGCCTTCACCTAGAGCCCACCCTTTGATTTTCCAGATAGGGAAACTGAGACTGGGAGAAAGTTTCTTGTTTCTAGACTCTACAGAATTCAGAATAGGAATTCTAGCCCTTCTCAGTCCTGAGTTCCATCTACACCCCTCAGTCTCAGAGCCAGAAGAGGAGAGAGTCCTGCCAGAGGCAGCACAGACTCCTAAGGTCTCCCCAGCCTCTAGTCATCAAGCCCATCCAGCAGGGCCTGTGAATGGTACTGGGCAACCCAGCAGTGCACCAGCCAGCTCTGCCCAAGGCATCCACATGGTCCCACAGCCTGCCACCGGCTGGGGAAGAAGACTGGGTGGGGAAGTTGGGGGAGGAACTCAAGCTCTAAGCCCACAGGCATTTACTGATTTGTTCCGGGCTCCAGGGCCCCGGAGTCAGTCTTCTCGCCTCCCAGGCGCCTGATCCAGCCCGAAAGCCAGATGGAGGGCCCAAAGCAGGGCTACATCGAACCACTCCACCCAGGTCATCACTGCTCGAGAATGTTCACTTGTCTAAGGACACTAGCGCCAAGGCTCACAGCAAGAGAAATCGGTGTTTGGCAATAAACACATACAGAAGGGACGAGAACCTCCACAGTATTCCCAAGGCTGGCATAGCCAGAGAACTGCCGTGCTGGCGTCTCCCACCCAGTGCAGCAGAGGGAAGTCCTGGCTGGGCTGACCTCCGCTCTTACCCACCCCCCCACCACCCCCGCTCAGCTAGGGCCTCTCCAGCTCTGGGCGCTTCTCTCCTCAGGTCCCTTTTCCAGGGCTCTCACTGGGACCTGGAAACCCGGGCTGCTGCTGCTTCTCCCAGTGAGGTAGCTTCGCAGCTGACGCCCTCCGACCTGAGTCCCTCCATCTCACCAACTCCTCCAAGTCACCTCCCTTCCCTAGGTGGGGCAGGCGGAGTGTACCCTTCTCTCCAAAGTGACGCCCGGCCGGGGGTGGGGGGAGGAAAAGATGAATATGTTATTGCTCTTTTTAGAGGGCAAATTCATCCCTTTAAGCGATCATTCAACATTGTTTACTGATTGCCCACAATGTGCCAGGCACAGTTAGGGGTATAGAGGCAGAGGGAGAAAGGTCAACACTCTCCTCGTAGGGATAGGAAAGTTGAGGCCCCAGAAGAGGAGCCATATTCCCTGGGGTTGGTAGCAAGTGGAGATGTGGTCTTCCTCTCCTGTACCAGGGAATCAATGGATAGGGGAGGGGACGCTATGGGACAGAGGCAGACAAACAGTCCTGAGCAGGTTCCACTTGTGGGAGCTCGGCTGGGCTGTGGGCCCTAGAGGTGCGTGCGGGTGGGGGGAAGGGAGGTGCCTGAGGCGGGCTGGAAACCCGCCGCTCTCCCGGGCGCCTGGCGCCAGCAGCGCTGGGGCTGGGCCGAATGCGGAGCCGGAGGCTCGCCAGGAGGGAGCTCCCGGCGTCCAGCTCCGCACTGGCTCCACGGGGTCCTGAGCCTCCCTGGCCTGGAGGCTCTCTTGAGTGAGGGAGTGCGGGTAGAAAGCTGTAATTACCTTGTGGAGAGGGACCTCAGTCCTCAACACACACCCAGCGTTTGCCCTAATCCAGGCGATCTCCACCCGCAGCATCTCCCAGCCAGCGCTCGGGGGCTCACCAAGACACGTGCACATGTAGGTGCACAAGGGCTCCCCAAAACCCCTGGCGTACCCAAAAGTCCATCTACTCATACAGATGCCCCAAAGCATGTGCGTTCTCACAGCAACACATGTACACCCACGAGACACACAGCGTTTTGGTATTCATGCATTCCTAGAATTGTACACATTGTCTCTCTGTCGCCCACAGGGCACACATCCCGACTCAGATGTGTTACAGCTATGAGCCACTCCCCGCCCTCTGAGCAGGCATGCACAGAGATACCATCGTGCAGCAGAGGCTCACGAATTCTACAAAAGTATCCCACAGCTGCTGGCTTTTACACATGGTCTTCTGCCCACAGCTGCGCACAGGTACACCCATTCGTATTTTCCTAAAACTCCCCACAATCATCTCCGCAGCACAAACTGCGGGAAACCCCGTCATACTTTTCATGTATTCTCAGTGTGGAAACATAAGTCTTCAGTCCCACAAACACACCCAGGCACACAGCCACGGCTACGACTGTGTACACACGGGTGCTCAGACATAGACATTTTCGCATGTCTGCACCCTACACGCAGTCACACAAACGGCAAACCCTTAGACACTCCGACGTATATTCTGCCTTGCGGGTGCAGCCGCATTCAGAAGCCCTGACGATGAAGCTGAGCGAGGGACGCCCGCTATCACGGCACCCGCAGAAGCGCGAGCACTCTTAGGGATCCTGGCAATTACCCGTACAAGTGCACAGTCCCAGCACCCTTCCACACGCACCCAAATCACTTCCTCCACCTCTCCACCTCTGAGATCCCTCAGAGCCACACACCCCCCCAACCTCCCAATATCTGGCTTGCTTAGTGTGGTAGGAAATGCATTGTTGGTACTGGGTTTTGAGCCCCTCGAGGGCCCTGAGAATGCCCGGCAGCCTCTCGTGGGTAAAGAGCAGGGTGCCGCTAGTCATCTGGGCTGCTGAAAAGACTGCTCTCCTCCCGCAACCCCCACCTCCACCCCCACCCCCTGCCGGTGAAGGAGTCGAGTTGTCAGCCCAGCGGCGCCCGCAGGGGGAACGCAGCCCTAGGGGACCAGCTGGAGCTTTGGGTTTGGCGGCCTCCGGCGGAATGGACGCCACCGAGATCGCCTGTGTAGACCGCAAGGCGCCTACGTTTCAGCTAAGGCCTTCTGGGAGACCCCAAAGTGCTTTTAACTCCAGCCTGGCTCAGGTGCGTTGGGAGTGCGGCGAAACTCAACCTTGGGGACCCAGTGAGGAAGGTCTCTCTCCGCCCCAGGCTGTCTGGTGTCCAACCCCTCAGTTTGGCCAAAACTGCTGTCGCGTGAGATATAAGAGGTGGGTTTCTTTCCCTCTCTGAGCCTCAGTTCCTCCAATTTCAGAAGAAAGGGACAGGGCTGATCGTCTGGAGTTTTAATTCCCAGCCCTGGGTTCTGGCAGGGACCCCACTCTGGTTGCTCTCTCCGAGGACCTAGTTCTTCGCTCTGGGACCGTGGGACCGTCTACAGACCAAGAGTCAGAAGCCGGGGACTCCGAGGGGCCGATGCGCCAGTCCACACTCCCCCGGCCCCGCCTGCCTTCCGGTACCCCGCAGTGCTCACCCAGACAGCGCCTGCTGAGGGTCTGACGCTCGCTCGCTGCGTTTTCAAATGGTGCGCCTTTTCCTCCGATTGTGCTAGTGAGGTTGGGCAAGAACTTTCTCCCATCTTACAGGGTTGAGAGCTTAAGCACAGAGAGGTTTAAAGAATGTAGTGCAGGAGTGATTAAGAGAGACTGGTGCACCTGGGTTGAAATCCGGCCCTGTCACCCCTCCTTTTGTAAACCTTAGGATCCTCAGTTTCCTCCTCTGTAAACTGGGGCCTAGTAACACCCGCCCAGAGTGCTAGTTTAAGATTAATTGAAATGATACAGGTGAAGCTCTTAGCAAAATAACGGTAAAGCTGGATAAACGGTGGCTCTGGCTTGGGGATTAATTTGTCAGGGAAAGAAATGGAGTTTCGGGGTCCACAGGACTGCATAGCCCTGAATAGGCAGGGGGTCCAGGCCACTGGTCTCTGCTTGAAGTGCTGTGTCTGGATCCGACCTAGCCTGTTTCTGACCACATTGGAATTTTCCTCTTTCCCCAACTACCTCCCCTACGGAACCCCACTGCCTTAAGGCGTGAGGTGAGAGAGACCAAGCACTGCCAGGTGTGGGGCTCATGTTGCCAGAGACCTGATTCCTCACCTATCCCACCCACCCGCATTTCATTGGCTGATCTGATCTGGGATAGTTCCGGCCCCTCTAAGACTCAGTTCCCCGATCTGTGCAGTGGACTGACTGGCTGTACTCAGACGCTCTGGAGTGACTTCGGCCTGGGCCCTGGGGTCCTTCTCCTGCCATTGCCCCACTCCTCCCCTCACTCCCACACGGACCCCACACTCCGGGACTGGAAGGCCTGAGAGCCCGCGCCGCGGCGCCTACCGCAAAACCTTCTCCCGCCGCGTCCCGTGACCTTGACGCCACCGGCAATCCCCGCACCGAACCCCTTATCTAAATAGGGCCGTAAATCAAGGACCTGTCAGGGCCCGGGTAATTACAGGAACTCCATAAAAAGGACCCGGCCGGCCGCCTGTTTATATTAGCGCGGTGTAAAATATTCTCGCTGTCTTGGGGAATCGCGTCGCGCGGTAACGCGCCATAAATCAGCCCGCGGGCCATTTACCCCGCAGCTTGAGCGCGCAAATCCCTTAAACATTTCTCTGCGGCATCTAAAGAGTGCCTAGGACTTTCCAACCTGGCCCCACCCCCTCCTCGGGCCCGGGAACAGTCAGGGCAGGAG